TATTAGAATCCATATGTGATTTGCTTTCCCATAATGATAATAAACTTTCTGCACCTTATTTTTTGCACTTTTATGAAGAAATGTTTTCTGTGTATGAGAATAATACATGTATGTGATATTTTGGGAGCAATGCCATAAACGTCTTATATTCAATTTTATAAGCAATATCTTTTCCAAAATGATAACAAATCATTACTTAATTTACTTTTCATAATTAATTTTTTTGTTTATGACAAAAATACTGGTAATAAGATAAATGAAATTTTGGGAGCCATGCCATGATCGTTTCATATTAAAATCCATACGTGGTTTCCTTCCCAAAATGATAATAAACTTCCTACATGTCAGTTTTTGCACTTTTAAGAAGAGATGTTTTCCGTGTATGAGAATAATACATGTACATGTATATGATATTTCAGGAGCCATGCCACAAACATCTTATATTCAAATTTATAAGCAATCTCTTTTCAAAAATGATAACAAAACATTATGTAATTTACATTTCATACTTAATTTTTAAGACCAGAAAAGTACTGGTAAAAAGGTAAATGAAATTTTGGGAGCCATGCCACGATCATTTTATATTAGAATCCATAGTGATTTCCTCCCCAAAATGATAATAAACTTTCTACATGTTAGTTTTTGCACCTTTAAGAAGAATTGTCTTCTGTGTACAAGAATAATGCATGTACATGTATATGATATTTCGGGAGCCATGCCACAAACATCTTATATTCAAATTTATAAGCAATCTCATTTCTAACATTATGATAAAACTTTACGCAATTTACTTTTTGTACTTAATTTTTTTGTTACGAGAAAAATACTGGTAATAGGGTGAATGAAATTTCGGGAGCCATGTCATGATTGCATTATATCCGAATTCACATAATGAATGAGCGCATTGAAGCAGGGTCGCACTGTATTATTAAAAGTTGTCACTTTATGTGTGAGGGACCAAACATAAAACTGTACAAGAAAGGAAACTTTCACCTACCTATTGCATTTCTTTTACTGTTGATTTTAAGATGACATTTTGGAAATGGACTGTACATTATATGTCTAATTACTTCTAAAACAATTAGTATCTGTATCATTAGATAATTTCATTTTTAAAATCTTTTTGAGCTCTTATCATATTATTTTGGATATTTTGTTCATTACTTGAAATGGCTTTGATTGGTGAATAGTACTGTACTTTGTTTTTCAGTTATTTCATTTTGATGTTGAAGTTAAACCCATTTTGGAAGTATTAGTTGGCAAAACAGTGGAACAGTCCTTGCTTGAAGTTATGGAGGAAGAAGAATTGGCCAATCTCAGGTCACAACAGAGGGCATTTGAGGAGCTAAGAAATGCCGAACTTGTAGAACAGCAGCGTTTGGAAGAACAGGAGAGAAGACATAGGGAAGAAAAGGTTAGTCTGAAGCATTTGCAGCAAAATTACTACAGTGAACTGTTTTAATGTGGTGGGAATTTTGTGGTTACTATGAACCACAAATTGAAAAGCCCAGAAGACATAGATTCACCTATAGACAAAATTGATACCCTTTGCCATATAACTGACTTCAGCCCTGATGGAAAATTTTGAAGTGGGTATTGGCAGAGAGTGATAAACGTTTTATGTCATATATATGCTTATATATTTATTTGAATAGAATCCTGTTTCACGTATATCATAATCAACCATACTTAACTAAAGAAAATTTGAAAGGATACAAAGATATTCATTTTCTATATGTGTCCACTAGTCTTCCATAATTCATAGTCATTTCTTAAAACCATGCACTACCAGTACAGAGTATAAACAAACTTCAAGTTATTGACCTTGAAGAGAATAGGATATTGAAAGTCACAAATTAATATTTATATTTGCTTCTATTGGACCTAAGCGGCTTTTTGAATCCCTGTTGTGATTTTTTTTATTGCATGATTAGTAACTTGAATACATATTGTCTGCATTGAGACAAAATTAAACATTGAAAGAGGTAGATTTCTTGATAAAACTGTGGGGGCAAAATATTTTCAAAGGTCATTTTTATATAACACATAATGGTGATTAGAAAATGAAATTCAAGTTTTAAATCAAATATATTCAAAGGATTCAAAACTTGTTTTTTTAACTTGCATAAAATATAGGGTCAAAACTTGTTTTTAACTTGTATAAGTGAGTTAGGACAGAAACCTGTATGTGAGTATAAATGAGTTAGGACAGATACCTGTATGTGAGTTAGGACAGATGCCTGCATTAGCATTAGGACAGATATCTGTATGCAAGTAAGAATATATACCTGTATTTATATTAAGTATGTGAGTTAGGACACATACCTGTATTTGCATTATGACAGATACCTGTTAGGACAGAATCACTGCCTTATAACTCTTTTAATTCCCACTGAAAAATATATAAAAATAAATAGAATCTCTTGGCATTATGACCAGTACTTTTATCATCTTAAATAGCTGCATGTATATATGTATGTGTTTATATCAGAGCAATTTAAGTTACATGATAAAAATGTAACATTGGTGAAAATTTGCTATAAGCATTTGGAAAATGAATACTTCCAAAATAAATGTAATTTTTACTCCAACAAAATATATATAACATCACAAAATGTTTAAATTCAATAAAAAGTATGCACAACAACAGTTCAAAAAATTAAAATCCTTAAAATATAGGGTCAAAACTTGTTTTTAAATAAAATAAATTTGTTTTAGATAATTAATGAATTTCTCTGGTGGCATATCACCAAAAAGTTTCTTAATGAAATTGACATAATTTTTTTTGTCTCACTTGGTATTCTTTGTTTATATTATTAGTAGAGTTAATCTTTTCAAAAGACAGCTGCTTATAGCAACCACTTGTGTATTAAGGTCAGATATAAGTTTCAGTTTGTTAATAAATCCACTCTGTTTACCCTAATATCAAGAAAAGAACTACTTTCAGACAGTACTTTCAGTGTTAACAGTGCATAAGCTCATCACTACATCATTTTGAAAGTAAAGAACAATAAATATTTACAACAAAGTTGCAAAGAAATTAACATACAGTCCTGACAATATTCTGCTTTCTTAGCAGATAACATTAAAGCCAAATAATTTTTATTTTCAAAAGAACTTTTTTGCTGTTTTATTCATGAGAGTATGATTGTAATATTTTTGTATTTTCTATACAGGAAAGACGAATGAAACAGCAGAGGGAAGTTTTACGAAAAGAAAAGGAAACTGCTGAAAAAATTGCTGCCAGGGCTTTTGCCCAAAGTTACCTCGCAGATTTGGTGCCCACTGTCTTTGGAACACTTTCTGACAATGGATACTTCTATGATCCTGTGGAGAGAGGTAAAAATATATTTGTCCTTTATGCATTTATTGTGTGGAAAGACGCATCATCATACCTTGCTTTGTTCAATTTTCCATCCTTGGTTGAATTTTTATGACTTTAGATAAGAGCAAAAACCACTCACCAAATAGAGATCAGTTAGACTTATGTACTTAATGTTCTATGAATACATTCTATATGTTATCTTGGTTTTTTAAACCTTATTGATAAAATTCAAAGTATGTAGTATGATAAGACAATTATGAATGTAGCAAGCAGATTTTTGGCCAGTTGTCATCATGTATTTCATGTAAACTAAATTTCAGAGACTTAGTGTGTCAAGAAACTTCAGCAAAGGGTGAAAATTAATCATTAACATGTTCTGGTATTTTGTAAAAACTATTTAAAATAATAAAATCATTCATATCAGCTTTACTGCTAGAAAGTCATTTTACCACAAACAAACAATGCTAGTTCAAATATTGACACACTTGAAGAGTGTTTGTTTTTTTTATAATGGCATGCAAAAGGTATGGCTTGTATGGAAGAGTGTTTATATTTATTATAATGGCATGCAAAAGGTATGGCTTGTATGGAAGAGTGTTTGTATTTATTATAATGGCATGCAAAAGGTATGGCTAATATGGAAGAGTGTTTGTATTTATTATAATGGCATGCAAAGGTATGGCTTGTATAGAAGAGTGTTTGTATTTATTATAATGGCATGCAAAAGGTATGGCTTGTATGGAAGAGTGTTTGTATTTATTAAAATGGCATGCAAATGGTATGGCTTGTATGGAAGAGTGTTTGTATTTATTATAACGGCATGCAAAAGGTATGGCTTGTATGGAAGAGTATTTGTATTTATTAAAATGGCATGCAAAAGGTATGGCTTGTATGGAAGAGTGTTTGTATTTATTAAAATGGCATGCAAAAGGTATGGCTTGTATGGAAGAGTGTTTGTATTTATTAAAATGGCATGCAAAAGGTATGGCTTGTATCAAAATGGGACAGTGAAGGTCACTGTGAAAGGAATCACTTAAGTTTCATTTCTGCAAAATAAAGTAGAGCAAAACAAAATGTATTATTCTTCTCAATTCAGTGATGATAAACATTTTCCAGTATTCTTTAATATTCGTTGAATATTGTCTGCTTTAATTTCCTTGAGTAACATTATAAAAAGCCATTATCTACTGAATGTCAGGTCACTGACTTTATGTGTCATGGTGTTAGGATTGTATCAAGACTTGTTTATTTGGGGTGAAATGCTTTTGCTACAGAGAGGGCTGCAAATTCATTATTAATCAAGCTACCAATATCTGGTTTGCTTCAAACCATGAATCAAATGTTCTTGTTTTATTTTGCTGCTTTGTGGCCCAGTCACATTTTGCTGGTTTAATTGTGTCAAGACAAGCAAAATGAAGTTCCTTGCCCAACAATATCCCATCCTAGAATGCAGCCTGCCTCCTTTGATCATTAGTTTTATGTTTTGAGTTGTTATAATTCCCTAGAATTGAATGACCCAAGGATTAATATTAACTCTATGGAGACTATAAGAATGACTTCCTCAACCAAAGATTTAAGTACCCTAAATAATATCATTTTTGTACTGCCTGCTTTCATTTTCTGAGTGCTGTATCATCAACATTAACATGCAATGTTAAAGCTAATGTAAATTAGAGGAGCTGATAGCTCAGTGGTTAGAATGCTGGACTCCTGAACTAAAGGGCACAGGTTTGAATCCTGCCATCACATCAGTCCAGGTAAGCTGATGTGGTGCATCCTTGGGCAATAGGTACTTGACTTCCCATGCCTTGGCACTAAATGACCTACTTGTGTTGCTGTGTCATAAAACACTATCCTAGACTAATTGGCAATGACAGTGGGGATTTAATTGTATTGGTTGCTGGTGGAAAATCAAGTTCTGCGAAACCCATGTTTGTAAAACTACACAAAATGAAACCCACTTTAATATAATGAAGTTATATGAATTTATAGTAAATATTAATTTCTATTTGTCTCTTGTTTCTTTCAGATATTGAACAGGGCTTCATGCCATGGCTCATGGAAAGTGTGGCAGAACAGTTGAAGAAGTCAGAACTTGGCAGATTAGTACTAGATGGACTACTTCGCGAAGTGGCTAAAAATAGACGTGAACTTTTTGAAAAACTAGATGTATCAAAGTCACCAGAGCCAGTATCAGCAGCTTCAATGACTAAAGAGTTTTCAACTGCTGAAAAGAAAGAAATGCCACAAATTTCTATAGAACAACAAGGGGCTCCAGCAACGACAACAGAGGTAAGCAGTCTTTCACAGTTGTCTCCCTTTGTATAGAGGCAGTGGAATACATTTTTATGAGCCCTCTCTGAAACAGATTATACTTATACTTATTTCAGTCTGCTAGGTAAATAACAATTAAAATGAATCATTAGCAACAGTAACATAAGCTTAAAGTGCAGATGGTTTTTATTCCCAGAAACTGAAGAGAACTATATTGGTCTTAGAGCTATTAACATCATTTTTTTTTCAGTGTATTTTATTTAAGCGGCACAAGTTTACTCTAAGTAACATATCTGATTTTGGGAAATCCAGCTTGCATCCAAATTTGTTCTGAGAACTTAATAAGCAATGAGGTTTTCTGCATTTATTCAAAAGCATGTTGTATTTCAAGATGATTTGTTGATATTTACAATAATATGCAACTTAATTTTGAAGCAAATATTAATCCACCAGATATATCAATATACATTTTGAATTCTGCTTGCAAAAATGTAAAAATCTCTCTTTCTTGTATATTTATATGCTCCAGTGATATTGTTTGCAGGTGACATTTAATGTTGCCCAGCAGTGTCATTCCTTTCAAAACGTACATCAAAATTTAATTATTGCTTAATAACTTTTGAGGGACTCCATGGATTGACAACAAGTGTAGTATGAGGATTTTTATAAAGAATACCAACCAGTACTGTTAAGGTTGTGTTTGATTTTCACCTTTGACCTTAACAAATCAATGAGTTATTGCCCTTTTTTAACTTAAAACTGCTTTGCATATGAAACAGGATTTTTTATTGCACCATTTTATTAGATATCAGTGTCATATGGATGAGTTTCTGGTGTTAATATATTTTTTTCAAGAACATATTTTTTTAAATCTGCTGGATAATATTAAATATAAACAAATATTGATTAAAGGTAATGAATACAAACCTAAGCATTTTCCACAATGTTTTCACAAAATCAAGACTAAAGACTAAACAGTGGAGGTTTGATACTTAAAGAAAATATAAAATATTAGGATAAAATAAATAACATTTAAAAAATCTTCAGGAAAATACAAGCTTCAAAATTTTGATATCAATGATTTAGCAACAAATAAAGTTTCATTTAATATCATTTATAAGGAATTCTTTCTTTGTACCTGTATTGCTTGGGGTTTTTTTAATTTCTATTGATTGGTAATTCCATCTGTTCATTTTTTCTGATTCTATCTGTTCTTTGACAGTTTAGTTCATCAATTACCTTATATATAAACACCCACATTTGTCTGTCTTTGTGACACTTGCCAAAGAAGAGGTGGCAAGTTCAAACCTTGCAGCTGCATCCAATTTTTTATAGTTTGTTTTTTATCTTTATCTTTAAACTTTCTTTTAAACTTGCTCATCCCATTTCTTTTTGTTGTCACTCACTTCCTAGGATGGGTAATTAACCTAGTTTAATATAGTTTACTTCACAATGTATATAAACTTAACTCATCCACCTAACTTGTAAATTTGTTAAGCTTCTGCATTGTATATTCTGATAAATATTTCCAGTAAAAGTTGCATGTTTTGAAGTTGTTTCAATTTGTCCTTCAGTTGGATATTAATTTTTTCACACTTCAAACATCACATAAAATCTGATCTTTTGTTTTATTCATCATACCTTCTCATCTTTAGTATTTATTTTAAATGTTCCTGCCATTATTTATGGAGGGCATGTTATTAGTCATATGATAGTTTGTCAAGGTGTACATACTGATTTGACAAACGCCATTTAGTCTAAGCTAAAAGCAGAGTGTGCATGTGGTTCATAATAGTTACAACAAGATGTACCCTCTGGTAATCTAATAATGTATTGTACCATTGTTGGTTATGCAAACAATTGTTAGCAGCAGCTAGTTAGCTTGACTGGTCATAGACCAAGAGAGCTGATAGGATGCCTGTTGTCCAGCATCCATTGTCCATCTGTCTCTTAGCAGAATTTACTATCAATCCTCCTAGACTACTTGGAGGATTGCCATGAAACTTTATACACACATTCATCCTACAATCTAGTTGGTCTTAAATGATAATGGCACTGCTCAGACATCTTGACATTATTATTATCATAACTCTTTTAAATGGATGATCATATCAACATGAGGTTTTCACTGAAATAATTCAAGTGATATCATGTTGGTCCTGAATGAAAATAAGGCATATCATACATCCAGTATGATTGCCATGGCAACCATATTGAAAATTGTTATTGATTCTCCTTCTGAACTCATATTAGCATGGAGTTTTCACCAGAATGTTTCTTGTGATGTTAATTGGTCATAAATGAAAATGGTTCTGCTTGGACATCCAGTATGACCACCACAACAGCCATCTTGAAAATTTTGTTATCACTGCTCTTTCTGAATGGATGGTCATATCACTATAGACATTTAACTAAAAGATTTATTATGTTGTCTAGTTGTTCCTAAATAAAAACTGTGTGATAACAGTAGAGTAGAACCATATTAATATGGGATTTCCACTTGACAGTGGTGCTTATCTGACCTCAGATATGACTGCTACAATTAACATATTGTAAATCTTGTCATTATTCTCCTGATAGTGATATTCAACATGGAGCTTTCACCAAATGTTTACTAATTGTGCCCAGTTAGTCATTAATGAAAATGGTGCTGGTCATTACATCCAGTATGGTTAGTACAATGTCTAATTTGAAAATCTTACAGCTCAAAAAAAAATCAGAGATGGTTTCAACATTAAACAGTTAAAAAAACAAAGTGGTTTCATCTTGAATTCAAGAAGATTCTTACCAGACAGTACAACATCAGTCCCTGTAAAGAGCTCTTGTTTTAGCAGCTACTTCCTTTGTCCCCTCCTCCACCCCAACCCCCAATCTTGCTGAATGACTGATGAAGCAGCATTGTTGGTTTAAAATAAAACTTTCTTTTTTTTAGGGGGTGGGGCAGGATTTTACAGATAACAAGCAACAGTGATTTATTTCTATATATAAAGTTATTGTCTACATTTGGATACTAAATTACTTATTTCCATTTAACATTTTAGTCAAAGGTTGTTTGCTATTTTGCTTTACCCAATTGTATATCATTTGTTGTACGTCTGGTAAGTCATGTGAATTAGTCATGACCATGTTCACATTCTTATACCCTTCTAGCCATTTTGTTCATTATGATGTAAAATGTATCCCATTTTCTGTCTGTCATGCCACATCAGTGTTAGATATAATTTCCATTCAATAACCTTTTGAAGGAATCTGTGGATTTTATATTAAACAGAATTTTTGTACAATGCTTTTTATTAAAAATACCTTGGTTTGTTTGGATTTTCAATGGTTTCTGACAAAACTGGAAAGAATTGTGTCTGTTTTTGACTCTGAACTTTGCATATTGAACCAAGTGTTTTTTTGGTGGGGGCACGATGTGATCTGAATTCAACCAAGCTTTCTTATTGGTGCAGGCATCATACATGGAGATAAATTGCAATTTTTTTAACATGTATTCTGCATCATTTCTATGACTTTGCATCAGATTATAAATTAGTTACTGAATCAGAGATTTAATTGATCAGTCTGTGATTATTTTGAAGTGATTATTCAATGATTATCAATAATCAGCAAACTGGCTATATAAAGGAATAGCAAAATTAATGAGAAAGAAAATTTATTATTGTTTAACATCTGAATAATTTATGGTTACTTTGTTCTTTAGACTGGTGTCTTCTTCAGATATTCTGATATAGAGTCAAAATAAGGTAAAAGAAAAAGTAAACATAGTTTAAATTTGGGCAAATGGTATCAGTGGTATTTTGGTGGCTGGTTTCAATGAAACAAATACAGTTTTAGTTAACTGTTCTTTACCTTGTTATGTTGATAATTTATTTTACAAATTGTCTGTAATTTCACTATGGACACTTTTTTTTAGGAATATGGTTTTGAACAGTTTTACTTAAACAGTCTGAATTGGGGTGAGGGAACAGTTTGTGCAGCAAATTCAAAATTAATATATTACTTATTTGTTGTCTTCTGGTTTTTATTCATTGTTTTATGTTATTACACATTGAATCAAAAGAAAAAAAATAAGTATAAAATGCACAAAATGCTGTTGGATATTTACAGTCAAGCATGATCAACCAGATGCCAATTATCAAGATTATTTGATCTGATCAATTACTGCTTCATCCAGATTTTATCACTTTTTTCAGTGTACATATATCTTTAAGTGACAATAAATTGCTGATCATGATGTCAACATAAAACAGAGTAACAGAAGTAAGACACAAACACAATTGAATATAATCTCACGGTTATAATTACAAAGGTCTTTATAAATAACTGTTATCTTTTAAAGTAAAAATAAATGTATCTAGGAGAGAGGAGATGCAAAGAGATAAACTTTATTCTTACACCAAATTGTCACTTGTGAGTGTCAATATGACAGTATTTAATTTGTGTTGCTGAAATGACAGGTTAGTCAAGCATTATTAAAAA